GACTAGGCGCTGCGCCAGATACGGAGCTCACACCCACTGATCCGGGCACGGCGTTCATCAAGGAGGCAGCGACAGGCTGCTTCAGTGTATTGACTAAGCCCGTGCCACCTATGGTCCCCATGGCGCCACTGTTTGTCAGGACCATATTGCCAAGATTTCCCTGTGCAATGCTGTTCATGCCTGCAACGGAAATATATGAATTTATCGTGTTTTTTAAGTTTGCGACTGTAGGAGAATTACCTGGTATGGCATTCATGCCGTTATTGCCATTATTTGATATGGACATGGGCATTGAATTAACCATGCCCATTTGTGTCGTCACTTGTATGCCACCAGTGTTAGGCGATTGCAAACTGGGTGATTTGCTGCCTAGTTGATTCATGCCGGGCACAACCATGCCACCGCCAGCGCCCTTGTTACCTTGTTGCTGTTGCTGCAAAAAATGCTGCAAATGCTGGTTATGTTGCATTTGACGTAGTTGACTACCAGCAGCGCCGCTACCGGCATTACCACTGCCATCATCCCCGCCGCCACCGGCTCCATTCATTTGTGGTGGCACAACGCCTGACCCAGGTCCCTGAGTTGGAGGTTTGTTTGGTCCGCCAGTGCCGACGCCGGTTGCTGTGGATACAACATTAACGCCGGCGCCAGTAGTGCTAAGCTGATCTGACCATCCGCTGTTGGAGGAAACCAACTCATCAGGTAGATTTTCTTCCAGAAAGCGTAGAGTCGCTAGGTGAAAATTGTTTAATTAATAAATGTTTAAAGTAATTTTAATGTATTTTTGCACTCCACATGTAGTTTTATTACAAGGACTAATCCAGAATAAGTATACTAGTAATTAACTATTATCTATGTACTTCTTGTCAATTATAGTTTTGTATGTACAGTGAACTCTCCTAACTCTCCTATTAGGCGGGCATACCTCTTGTCACGACATTTTTTCCCAAACAATTTTTTATATTTACAATTTATAAGCCAGGCTCTCCCCCCCAAATTAGATCTTACGTCTAATCTATCGATGTATTCTTAAAAACATTAGACATTGCTAGATAATTTTGAACACTTACATTGATCTATTTTAGCCCGCTTTTGTGGCGGTTCGTCCAAATGATCGGCCATCATATATATAATTTGTTGCTAGCCTTGATATGGCAGCAAAACGCGTCCTTATGGAAATTAATATGTTTGTCTGCTATGATTGTCTTTAGCAGTACGTAAGTCCGTAAAAAATATAAAAAAAAACTTCGATTGACGAGTTGAGAAAGTTGACAGTGGGTATGACAAAATTATTTTTGATTGCTTGCGTGTGCGCTGCACAAAATGACAGTTTTCGCACGGATGTGTTTGGTATTTTACTTATTTTTTTCGTTATGCTTTTCTTCTTCTTTTATAAGTTTGAAATGTTGGCAGTCAACACTTGCCTAATAAATTGTTTTAGTAAATTTTTGCATAAACTAGCAGGAGTAGTAAACAAATACAACTCCTTTGTTATTGTTATCGCTGCTTCTGTCGTCTGCCGCTGCGACGAAGACGTCGTCGACGTCGTCCGCGCTATCGTCACCGCGACCGCGACCGTGCCGGCTGAGCACGTCGCTGACTCCGTTGGCTCGCCGTTGAGATCGTTGTTGTAACTGCTTCTGGTACTACTGGCGTCCCATGCGCCAGTAGACGTCGTTACAAGTGCGCGCCTTTGCTCCTGTTGCACCACTTCCCGCCTTAGCCTTAGATTTTTTTGCTGCTGCTGTTTATTGATGCCGATGCTCGTAGTGTTGTTTGTCATACAGCAGCATGCGCACGAGTGCATTTTGTGGGTAGGCGCCAAGTCCACCAAATTGGCCGAATCCAATAAATCGGCTTTAGTAAGGATTCGTAGTTGTTCCTACTCTTATGTCCTACTGCAACAACTGCTGCAAGTGAAATTTGAAGATGAAGACGTAAGAAGAAAGGACTGTCAAAGCCAGCAAGCAAATGCGTGCGATGTTGCATTTGCTGCTGCCGCTTTGTTGTGATTTTGTTTTTGCTATATCTGCTGTACCATTTTACAGCCGCTAATTCTTGATGTTTGTTTTTGCTTAATTTCTTTTTTCTTTCAACTTTTGTTTATGATTTTCATAACATTGCTGTGATACATTTACTTAATGTTGTTGATCTGAAAAGCATTCACATGTCTGCAGTGTTTATGAAGTGGTTGATGTTGCTGTTGTTATCGTGTTTACATTCGCTATATTCCACATTGCACATAACTGTAAAAATATAACAAAGTGATACTTTCCATTAGAGCACGAAACTACAAACACACACACGTATAAATTAAATGACCTATAAGATTCACATTCGATACACAGTCCTCACGCACATCGGAAAAAGACAACAAAGTATGGGAACATTGTTTGAGATTTATTTTCCGAAAGCGGCTACCGTTGCCGCCTGCTAACTAAAAACAACTCGCTGCTTTCTGTTTTTAGGTCTTGTTGTTGGCCGTAGTATTCGCCATCTCGCTGATATTTGTCATCTCCATCTCGCATGCGTCTACGTGTTTCACTCTCACACATACAGATGTGTCATAATTAAATGTGCGCACTATTGGTTAGCCAACACGCACGAAATCGGCCAGCAGCGTGTACAAGTGCGGCGACAGCTTTGAAATTGCGCGCAAACATGGTTTGATGAATGCAAATAGATGAACATATTAAAGTATATAAGGCGACCCGTAAATTAACTCGACCCTGGATCACACTTTTCTTTAATGTCAAATCTCATCATACATGTGGATATTGGTTGCTTTCTGCGCCAAAGATGAGTGGCGAGTAAATAGTCTGAACAAATACCAAACCAGAGACCCGAAGCATCTGAAGCTTTTTAAAGCTTTTTCGCGTGCAAACGAATGCCGCTACGCCTTGCTGTTATTTAGCTGATTTTATTAGCGAGTACATCGCAACACAGGGCGCGCGCTCATCGCACATACATATTATATAAATATATATATACATACTTGCATGTATAAGCGATTATTCTCCGTCTGGACCGAGTCGCGCCGACGTTTTACTACACACATGTATAAAATGCAACGAGACAATAATGATAGCGAGTAGAGAGCGAGAGCTCATAATAAATGCTGGCTTTGGTATTTGTATTTTTCACACTGGTGTGCATACACACAGCACAGGCACTGCCAACGAGTGCGAGAAGCATTGGAAAAAGAAAGAAAAACAGACGACAGAAAATATATTCCTTTTTTTTGTCGTTGCTCGTCCGTTTTCTTCTTCATGTCGTATCAAAGTTTTCTATTGCAGAAATTTTGTGTTTCAGGCGTATTTGAAATTTATAGCGTCGTTAAAAAAATTGATAAATTTGTTTGCACAAAATACGAAATGTGCAAAAATGGTAAGGAAAAATATAAAAAAAAATTTGGGCAATTTTAAAACTCTGTTTAATTTTTTTGAATTTATTTTTTTGCGGCACAGTTAATTTTTTTATATTTTTGAGATTTTTAGTCAATTATGCATTTTTACCATACATTTTTCACATTTTTCGTTGATTTAAGAAAATTTTTAAAAAATTTTTGCAACACTAAAACAAAAATTTTCAGTCCGCTTGTGTTGCAGCAGAAAGTCAACTGATTTCGCGAACGAGTAGCAACAGAACTAGAAAGAAAGACTGAAGCTGAAACGACTATGACTCTGTGTTGTGTATTAGTGCCAGACGACGACGACTGCGACCAGTAGCGACAGCGACGAGTAAGCGTACTCGACGGAGAGCAAGAGCACATAGTTGCTCACTGAGAGAGGGCAAAGCAAAAATGTGCGGTGCAAAGCAAGTGTTTAAGCAATCGGTTGCTTTAGGTGGTGTGCGTTAGTATGTGTGTGAGAGAACGTCGCTAGATAACAAAGTAACGAGTGACCACAGTGTTGAATAGTGTGGAATGTGTTTGTTCATGATTTTAGCCGTGGCGGTAACACTCAACGCTGCGTGTATTTCGAAAACCAAAATTCAGTGTCGTCGTATTAGATATCACTATCGCTATCCTTATTTAGCAGCCGCGCAATCACTAACCACTTGGATATATTGTGTTTAAAATAATTATACATTGCTAAAATAAGATTTTCGTATGTCCCAAAAATCCCAAGTCAGCTTATACAATAGAGACGACAATTGCGGGTACTTGATCATTTACAATTTTTTGTTAAGTGTTTTCGGGCTTTTGTACACGCAGTTACATATACTTTCGACACACGCGACATTCATGAGACATCACAGATATAAAAGAGACGGGCACACTATACCCAGCATTTGCGAATCGTAAAGGATAAAGCGAGACAAATAATGATGCGTCTACTCAACGAGACACACCAGCGAGTGTTCGTCTCTGATGTGTAGTGGCATGAGTTTGCTTTAGGCATTTTTAAAGCAACGATTAAAGAAATTCTTAGCCATATTACGTTTATAATGAAATTTGTTATTAATATTCTGCTATTTTTTTATGTTTGGCCAACTTCCACACAAAGGAATTGTTGAATGTGTATGTATTTAATACATATACCTTAACTCTCTGTAAATTGCGCCAATTTTATTTTACAATTCTTGTGAAGCTTGTTATTAACTTATAATAGTAACTGTTGTATATGCGTTTATAGAAACGCCGTTCCAGACAAGAGATGAGACCGATTTTTTGAGAAGCAAAACATTTACATTATGGAAGCGCGTACATATATTAAAAAAAGACTGTTAATTTAAAAAAATAAATATCATCAAACCCCTTAAGTACAATGAAGCGACTGCTCTAACTTCAAGTATCATAATGAGTAATGTCGAGTACATATTCTTTTGTTTAAGTTTGGTAAGGACGGCACCAAATGTTATTTAAAGTTTGAATGGTTTAAAAAAAATATATATATATAAATTTTGGCGGAAGATAAGTTTGACCATTACAGAAACAGTGTGTCCCAAATGATGTGCGCTTTAATTATTGTAAAATATTACGGTAATAACAAAACCAATTTTTAAAAATCAAACAATAGTTTTACTTTTTATTGAAGAAGTTCAAGTATCTCCTTCACTCAAAGCTAGGGATGTATAACACTTATCGATTAGTGGGTAATCGACTGATAATCGCAGCCTTACTATATTATCCTTGTTATTAAGCAATAGTCTCTTATCTTAAATAAGCTATATCTGAAATTGCTTCTAACAAAAATAATTAAATGAAATTATTATTTTTATCGAAACAAATTAACAATTAAATATGTAAAAGCAACCAAAATGCTTCAGTTAACTTGGAAATTACGGAGTCACAAGCTTCTAAGTTTGACTGGGAATTTTTTAAAGATAGAGCGGCTTTTGCTACATATGTATATTTTTACAAAAAAATTAAAAAGAGCAAGAGCTGCCGTCTTCACCGGCAGGGCTCGCAGCAGTGGCTCCAATACTGTTTACATGCCCAAAATAAACGTAATAAAAAAATAAAGTATTCATATAGTTAATACTAAATGCATTTTACTTATTAAATAACAGTTATTCTAACTATTATTACTATTTATTGTTAATTATAGGCGACTGGTATTATTTAAAAGTGGCTGCCACGCGCAGGCGGCAATGATATAAACATATTTATTTTCAAAATTTTGTATATGGGATAAAACTATATTCATTTATTTGTCACCTGCGTCTGTCATCAAATCGTTTTCGCGTCTTCACCCTGCAAAAAAAGATATAAAATTGTTAATAATGTTAAATGTTAATTTATTGAATGTATTTGTGTAAGTATTATTGAATATTTCCGAGTAGGAAGTTAATAGTGGGTGAGATAAGGATGTCGGGCAGGTGCACATCAGAATTTGCGTGTTGGTAAGAACTCATGATGGCGAGGACTCCTTTAGGGTGAATCTTATCATCAGTTCACCATAGGCATGTTTGCAGATTGTCTGTTCGAAACGTAACCGAAATGCAATACACGCTCACACAACCTCCCATTTGTTTTGATGGACTTGCCAAATTTACGTACATAAATGGCAAGGGATTTCAAAAGTGGTTAAACCAAGGCAACGCAGTAAATTTTTTTGAAATAATAGTGGAAGATATGTAAGGATACGGTGAAAACTCTCCTGGGTGGATGGCAACCATCGAGTAATTTTTTCCCGCTCAAGAAGAGTGTTCTTATAACGGGGGTCGCCTCATTAATATTTGTTCATACAAATGTTCGGCAAAGAGAGGTGTCCGCTTAATTGGAGTATTCGTAAGAAAAATGTTCACTGAATAACAAATAATGTGGTTATTTTTTAATTTTGGTTGATTCTGATTCAGTTAGTGCCACCAGTGCCAATTTGGCTCTGCCAAGTAGGGATGGGTATCGGCATGAAATATCGATATTGACATTTGAAATGAATGAAAAAGAATTTAATAGCGCAATAACTATCGGCCAGGTAGCATTGACTGTCAACATATTTCAGTAAAATTATGGATACAAAGGTAATTTTTCGTTTTCGTCCCCCCACATAAGAACTATCACTCGTACATATGTACCTTGCACGCATATACTTATACACTGTTTTGTAAATTATATAGTTTATAGTTTTGTATGCACGCATATACATATTAATGAGTATTTCATCAAATTTTTTCCTTTTAACGCCTGCACATGTTTGTATGTATATACAAGCTCATTGTTTGCAAACATACATAGGTATGTATGTAGCAGGGGACGTAAGCATTACTATTATATTACAAAAATAAAAATGTTGCTTGTTTTTTATATTATTTTTAACAATTAGATGGATTGTATTTTATTATTTGCAGATGACTATGTCACTTAATATATCTTAAGAAGCCGCGGAAAGTTCAAGAGCGACCCAAGGCGACGGCGAGGTCAATGAATGTTTGTGGCGACATTTATCTCTCAGATGCGTCTGGCCGAGCACAAGAAATTCTGCATTTACGTTAAGCCGCCAGAATGCGCGTAAGTTTTACATAGCCCACAAAACCTTTAAAACTCTCAAAATATTTCTTGTACACTCTGCAGATGTGGTCGTGTATTTGTTCAGACCCATCAGCTGTTATGGCACATGAATACACACTGGCAAACGACTTTATAATTTCAGGCTTGCAAGCATTATCGGTAAGTACTCATCAGTCGCTATTTATTTTACTTAAAAATAATTTATGTTTCCCATAGCATAAATACCAAGGAGAGCCTTTTCAAATGTAATGTGTAACTTAAAATATTTACTTATTCAGAAATTCCCCAATACACACGATTGAAAGAGCGCACGTGTAAGTCTTCTGAAATCCACATAGTAATCTGCAAGCTAACATTTTCACTATTTATTACAGTTGTGATCTGTGAGGCAAAGGAATTGTAGACGCCTATAAAACACAGTTGTATGCTGTGACGCACGAAAAGTGCGGGCCCTGGAAGCCTTGGACATGGAGACGACAGGACGTATTAAGGCTGACGTTATTGTTATTATATGATGGTTATTGGCTTGTTGCTTGTGGCTTAGGCCTTGTACAAATAGTCTTAGCTTATATTTGAAAATATTTAATAAGTTTTGTTCTTAATATTTTTTGATTCAAAATACAAAAAATATATGTTAAATTACTTTTGAATGTAAGATGTAAATTGGGAAACTCCACCAGCATGTGTGGTATAATCTCGAAAAAGGGTTGTATGATATTCTGATTGACTTACACTCATTTTAAAATATCTAAGTGAAGATGTCAGGTTCATTATAGTGTGGGAAGATATTAATTTTCAACGTGCGGGAATGGGCTGAAAATGGATCAATTAAAAGCAAAAACGCCTGGCCCTCAATTTATAAATTTTTGAATTTATTTATTTATTTTTAAAAATTATAGAAGGTAACTACATTTGATAGCTTTTGTTAATATTGTATAATTAAAGTATAATTAACATTAAACATTTTTGTTTTAATGAATATTTCTGTACTTTGTTATATAAACACATATAAGGCTTACATGAATTATAAAATATTTTTTATTTTTTAAATTATCTTATAATTGAAAACCAAACATTGCAAATGCAGAGTTATTTTTGTTTCATACATATTAAATACACAATAACTTCCGCAAAATCGAAAATTCGATATTTATAATGACTCGTCATCAATAGTTAACAACTCTCATTCGCGCATCTCGAAGCGATGACGATAGTTCAAAACTATCGGAAATGCATCGTCAAGATGTGCGTCAGATTAGCAACGGTGACTTATAGCATTTCTCCACTGGGCTTAAAAATGTCACATTTTCAAGTTTTACATATTGGTGTTCCACCGGTTTTCGGTAACATGTGAGTGGCAAAAGTACTGTTTCTTTAAATAAACAGCTGATCGAGTTGCTTTAATTTACATAAGCGCCGCACAGATTTCTTTCCAAAAGTAAAATAATACGGCCCCGAAGTAGGGGCTCCGTTTAATAGACCCTTTGCGGGATTTGGCCAACTTTATATGTTAAAAACTGTGGGACTATTAAAATTTAAAATTATAATTTAAAGTTACCGCTTGCCTTCGTTTCAATATCAGCTGGTTTATGTTTACATTTTTCACAAAATCGATAGAAATCTCGATTAATCATCGCAAAATACACGAAATGTTCGGGGCGAATTTACACATTTTTAAAAAATGTGACATTTTCAGAAATGTGTTCAGTGGGCAGAGGCTATTAGCGTCGATTTTTGGAAATTGGTTCCGGAGGCGGAATCACTCACTTTTAAATGAATTGATTTATATTTTAAGCGCAAAACCAAATAAATTTTAATGCAGAATTGTAAATTATTAAATTATTTACTGTCTACATCCTTTTTAATAATATGGGTAAACCAATATATCAGGTTTCAGCTTTCTTTAAAGTACCTAATTCAGGGATAGGGGCCTTGAAAACCACATATACAAGATTAAAACCTATAGTTTCACCTAACCAATGTTTAAAAAATTATAAAAATCGATTATAACGTTATTGAAATATTTGAACAACAGTGTTAGCCCCATACAAAATGCCCGGAAAATTAGCATTGCATTTAAACCCTGAAAGGGTTTCAGGGAAAATCCCCCAATGCACGCTATATCAATTCGAAGATAAATATTTAAGGAAGCGTTAGGCATTTGTTCGAAACAAATTGATAAGCCAGTTTTTAAGAAAAATAATATATTGTTCTTCCGAACTACCAGTTCCAAGGTGAACTGAACCACTGCTTAGTTTCAGGGATGATCAATTTTTTACAGCATTGAGCAGGAACAAATGAATTTGAATTATTTGTATATGTTAATAAAGTAAGACTTTGAAATAATAGGCCTTTTGCAATAAAACAAGCTTCTTAGTAAAATATTATGCTTCTATATTAGCACTAACCAAATGACATTAGACTGGACAAACCGTACATTTGGTGGTGTCAAGCGTTTTAAGTGCGGCTGGTCCAAAGTCGCCTTCGTTTTTGTTCGGGTTCGAGACATGCCCGTATGCTCTCACAGCAAGAGAGTAAGAATACATATGACCTGTGTCGTAGAACGGCATCGCTGTCTTTTTACTCGCTCACTCTATAGGAAACTGGTTTGGCTTACTCTCATCCATATGATTTGTGCGATAGAACGGCATCTCTGTTTTTTATGTCGCTCTCACTATAGAAAACTGTTTGGCTTACTCTCAGTACTCTCTCATTATGTCTAGGGATCGTTTAAATGTGTGTGTGTGCATATGTCCGCACAAGCAAAACTGCGCACAATTTAAATTTTTTCTCAAATGTCGGAGGCATTTCTTTCCTTTTGAAGGCCTGCCTGTGACAAGATTTGAAGTTTTTGTGATTTCTGAATTCCGAGCTGTACACACAGACACAAAAGTGTGTAAAGGCAGATCATGGGTGGGAAAAAAATTTCATTATTGGCACGCGGGTGACGCGCGCCCTTCTTTTTATACCCTGATCCCAAAGAAAATGGGTAAAAAGGGTATAATGTATTTGTGCTAATGGATGTAACAGGCAGAAGAAAGCATCTCCGACCCCATAAAGCATATATATTCTTGATCAGCATCAATAGCCGAGTCGATCTAGCCATGTCCTTCTGTCTGTCCGTCCGTTTGTCCGTATGTATCTCAGAACCTATAAGAGCTAGTGACTTGAAATTGTAGCTGCAGGTTCACCTGGTGCCCGCGCAGATCGAGATTGTTTCCGATATTCGATAACTTGCCCCGTTTCCAAGTAATCGATAAAAATCGATATCGAAATACTGTTTTTTGAGCAATTTTGGTAAATAATAAGAGCTAGAGTCACCAAACATGACATGTAGCTTCTAGAATAGTATATATGTATATATCAAGTATCTTTTATTTTATAGCTATAACCACCATCCCGCTACTACCTCATACCTATAAATCAAGTAAATAAACCTATTTATGATGCCCGCCAATATATAATATTCCACAATTTAAATGCAATTGTCATTTTGAGAATACACGAATATTTTATAGTATAATACAATAAGATCTACTGTTGATCATAAAGATCGGTTATGAAACACAAAAGAAAATGTGTTTTGGCTGCCCACGTGTATTCCAAGAATTTCTGTATACATGTACACACACAAATTCATACGCGTCTGCTTTGAATTCTATCAACAGCATTGCAATTGCGATTGCATTGTTTTTTGTGCTGCTATTTTAATTCGTTTTTTTCTCATAAAGACTCAACTATTGGTGTGGCTGGTGAGTAAAAGCGGCGGAAAGTAGTGCGGTCTGTTGCGAGTTCAAACCCTGCCAAGGGAATTTTTTTAAATTTATCTTTATTACTAATAAGCAAACGAGCGCATAACGCGAGCAGCATTTGGGGTTGGAATAAGAGGGTTCAGGGTATCCCCTAGTCGGGGGCTCCCGACTAGAACCTCTTACTTGTTTTATATTATTTTCAATAATTAGGTGGTTTGTATCTCGGATATTCTCAAGAAATCCCAACGAGGGCGCAGATACATATATGGCCAGACATCTTGGTTAAGTATAATCTTAAGTATATCTTGGTAAGTATAAATCAGCTTATCTGGTTCTCCTTGGTTCTCCTTGAGATGTTGTAGATGTTGAAAGTTATGTGCGCACGTGTTAGCAGCAGCAAGCTCAAATACCAAGAATTTCTGTGTGCATGTACACACACACACATTCATGCACGTCTGCTTTGAATTCTATCAACACCATTTCAATTGCGATTGTATTGTTTTCTGTGCTGCTATTTTAATTGGTTTTCTTCTCAGTGCGTCCCAATTATTGGTGTGTAATTGTATTGTATGTGTATTGGCGGCAAGTGGTGCAGAATGTAGCGAGTTCGAACCCTATGGAGGGAACTTTGTTTTGTTTTTTGGCTGGTGTGGCTGTTGAGTAGAGGAGGCATCAAGGGAACTTTTTTTTTTTAATTTATCTTTATTATTACTAAAGCAAACGAGCGCGTAGCGCGAGCTGCATTTGGGGTTGGAATAAAAGGGTTCAGGGTATCCCCTAGTCGGGAGCTACCGACTAGAACATCTTACTTGATAACATTAGACAAGAATGTGACATATGACAAACAAATTTAAGAAATGTGGACAGTGGAATTAGGCAAATAATCGCCAGTCAATGTATACATATTTTTTAAACTAGATTTCAAATAATTTTAAAAAACATAAATTATTTTAAGAACATCCAGTCGATCATCAGCTTTCGCAGCGTTCGGACGTGTTATCTTAATCCGCTATGCCGTTTCGCATTTGTGTTGAGTGCAGTACTGAGGTATCAGCAGCTCAGCTGAGAAACTTTGATGCTATCCAGTGCTCTTCGATTTGCCGCAGAGTTTTTCATATTGCGTGCATTGAGTTATCAACGGAGGCCTTAAAGCTTTTAACACACTTGCCAAATCTGTTATGGCAGTGTGACTACTGTGTCGTGTCTAATGATTCTCATATGAAAATTGATGAACTTAGCGCTAAAGTGTTAAACTTTAAGAAACTTTATGACGGTCCAGAGGCGGTGTTGAGATATGCTGCTAACAATCTTAAAGTTAATATTGATGCCATTACGGGCTTCAAGCTGAACTAAATGCGGATTTATCATCAATGCGATTTGTCAACTTTAAGCTGGGGGTTCCTGAGCCATTACTTGCAAAAGTGTATAACACTTCGTTTTGGCCTTTATCAGTAAAAGTGTCTATTTTCGTGCACAGGCCTAAATCTGCGAACGATGATACTGCAATAAATCTGGAAGCAGCTGTTCGCCCACGCACATTTTCGCCGATCGAACAAGTTTTCGCTAACATTTCGCATATTGCAAAAAACCCGCAGTGATTGACGCCAGTGAGAGCGGACTACCACGCATGCTTTACCCTGCTTCGTCAGTACAACAACTTTTTCGTCTCATTTCGCTGCACTCGGCTCCATTCGATATTTGGATTGCTAACCTGCTGCATGCTGCAGCTACTCTTCACACACTCTCTTTATCAGAGCGCTGCCCTTATCTTCGAGTGGCGTTCTCTTCACCGGACTGCGTTTTGGCAAGAGGCTTTACGATTATCTTATAAGGCCATCCCTTCCCTTGCGTTGGCCACTCTCCTCGCTTGGATTATTTGGAGTTCTGGAG